CGTGAACCGGATTCGAACTCAGCTAGCTGGGTTCGTAGCACAGCGCGCTAACCGCTACACTACCACTCACAGGCACACACACTGGGACACGCAGATTCGCACAACTGCCATTCACCACTGAGTGGTGGTACCATCACCATGGCGCTTGTGTCAGGCGAGGTGTACCTTCAGGCCAAGTCAAGTGTTGAAGGCTCGTAGGCAGGTCATTGGACAGACCGAGGTGCCATGGGTTGGCTGAGATGACTGGTAGATGCACCAGCTGCTGTGTTTTAGACACCCGGCGATCCGCTGTTATGGATTTACTCTTCAACACACCGGTGTGCTGAAGTAGTAACTAATTGGCACGTTTTGTTTACGTGACAAACCTTACTCATTGGCTGTGTCGAGTGGTGGTGGGTTAACGACACATTTTTTTTATATTTACGCGATGTAACCCTCAATATCTTTAATATGAACCGCAAAAGTTGGTATTTTACTGATAATTACGAGAGTACACACTATGAATGGTGTTATTATAATGGTGTTATTAAAATAATGGTGTTATTGTAATAATGGTGTTATTATAATAATGGTGTTATTGTAATAATGGTGTTATTGTAATAATGGTGTTATTATAATACTGGTGTTATTGTAATAATGGTGTTATTATAATAATGGTGTTATTGTTTTTATAAATGTTGGTGGTTTTGCTGGAGAGCGTCAGGCTATTGGTTGAAAACTAATTTCTTTCGAACTGCTCTTTGTGTTTAGATTGTTGTCCTTTACCCGCGCCTCCAATTATCATGGTTGGCTGCGTATGGTGCGAAAGAAGTTCAACGTATTTACACACATTGAGGAATCATTCAACTTGCACCGTCATTCCGGATTGCATCGTTAAAGCTCGTGCAGGCGTCACAACTCAGTGGCCGTTAACACCTCCATACATACGTAGTGGGCTCCCAGGACACGGAGACGGAAGAGTAGAGGCAGCACTATTTATTAAACAAGGGGTCACACTGGAAGGGGTAGCGGCCCCTTCACCCGTATACACTCAGGGATAACCCCAGGCTATCTAGCCTAAGCCCTAGGCTCCCGATTCCTCCAGCTATAGGCGTTAGAGGAGGCTATCTGATCTGGCCCTGGTCAGACACAGATCTCGGCACCCCACCAACCAGACTGGCCCTTAAAAGGACTCCGGCTCTGGGGCCGCACTACTGGCTTGCCGTGCCGGCCCTGAAAAGGACAGCGGTCACAGGAGTCCCAGGGTCTATCCTAGCCGGCCTTCCTTCTTCACTGGCTTTTCATTCTTGGCCCCAACACATTGCCACGAGCTCTCTGGCTCCCCGCTCTTTATACCCATACCCCACTGAGGGTGGAGCCATAGCGGACATGGTTGTAGCCACCAAGGTGTGGTTGTGCCTCACCTTCCCACACCGTGTTTCTTTCCCATAACACCCCTACACATAGAGGACGACAGAGTTTGGGGAGGAATTTGGCAACTGGCTCCAGCGCCTGGCTGCCGCTGCCTTCCCGCTCCTCGTCTGTGGTTCCTCCTCCTGGCGCCTGCGGGAGTTGTCCCTCTCTAGGGAGGCGAGCGAGTAGCGGACGCTGCGGCGTTCGAGGCTCACGATGTTGTTGTTAACTCTCGGGATGGAGCGGTGGGAAACGCGACCTGTTGCACGCAACTCTACTCTTCCGCTCCGCTTCTCTGGGTCACTTTAACAAGCAGAAGCAATTCACTCAGGACTCATTAACAAAAATATACATATATAATTCTCATCAGGCCCCACGGTGTAAACAAGCGCAGCCTCCAACTCTCATCGTCCCCACTGTCCCACTACCGGCCTCTCTGTTTGAGTGCTGTGAAGAAGTCCCATTGTTCAAAAACATTGCATATTGTACATGTTTTAATTTTAAGGCTGCACACCGTGTTATTGATGCATGCATTGAGTGTTATGTTTGTGCTCCACCACCACCAACGCAGCAGCAATAGATGTCATGTGGTCGACCGAGTCAGCGTGATGGACACAAAATGACGATGAGTAGAGGTCACAAGGCCCCCCCAGGCAGTTCACGGCACGAGTTCACGCGCAGGCGCCAGTAACGACGATAGCCGCCATGAGTGGTCATTCGCGCACACGGAGACACACACGCCGCAAAGACAAAGATCCCCCTGTATAAACAATCTTTGGGAGAATGTAATCAACCAGGTGGGGTGTTGACTGTTGTGTTGGCCGACTCTCTGTGTTGTATTGCATTATATTTCCAAGTTTACTATGTTTGTTTTCTCATTCATTTGTACCTGATGATGGTTGCTTGTGTTGCAATTGTAACGTCGTATTCTATTATTATTCAATTTAATTTCTTTTGACGTGACCTTACCGAAAGAACCAAAGAGTAATCCATCATATAGCCTGAAAAGACTGTCGGAGCACCTATGAAGGTCGGCACGGCTGGGTGGGTGGCCAGCACCGTGTCCGGCCGCCTTTGTCTCCCAAGTGGCGATGTTTACACACCACACTAGGTACTAATTTGAGGCTAAATGGACCTAGGGGAGGCCCATGACGGTGTACCCACTTGGGCGCTCACACAGTGGCGATTGCACTCCTCGCCATCTAAAATGTGCCCTCACCACAGTTTAGCTCTTCTCGGGATGCAGCACATAGCAGCAGTTCCAGACCGCCGCCTTCTCAGCCACAGTGGCCACAATCACCGTGCTCGGCATACAACAGCGGACTGCAAACGGCAAGAGTTGGACCGACAGGGACAGCATATTCTTGGCTGCTGTGGTCTCGGCTGTACCGCTTGCACCGTCTCCTTTCCCCGCCGCCGGATGGTGCTCGAGCTGGCCCTCCTTGCGCTCAGCCCACTGCTGGAATGCCGTTGCTCGGCCTCTCGTGTCTCTGCTGCCCGACAAAGGCGGCCCCACTGAAGCCCACACAGGGGACTCTTCATTCACGAGCCTGGTGGTACGCTGTATACAAATAGACAAAGCGTACTGTCAAAATTATAGAATCACCCGCCCTATTGTGATGCGCATGCCGCTACTCACCGCATTCCGTTTGGCTGTTCTCCACGGTCACTGCTCTCTCCACTGCTAGCTGGATGTTGGGCAGGGGTGCTCATGGCGGGCGAGAGTGTCACTACTGAGTTCACCATCCCCTCATTCAAACACGTGGTCCACCCCACACACACTGCATTGGGATTGAACTCCCACAATATGCCGCGCTCCGCTCTCATCTGTAATTCCAGTATTACACATTTGGGCTTTAATTGCACCACGTAACAGAATAAGCGTGGAGAGATAACTCGCGTTACTTGAATGAAAAACGTATTTCTGTAGCCAACCCCATCCCAACGTCCATAGACACGGAACGGGTCTCTGAGTCTCGTGAAGAGTTGCGCTCACCCGGCCGTTCGTCTCTCCAGGGGCGCGCGTCTAGCGGCGAGCAAATTCTCCACCGGTTTCGACCTCTTGGGTCTCAGCGGCAGAGCTCGGCTCGTGAAACGAATGAAGCTGGGTCTGCAGATGTTACTGGCAAGGGGGATGCGCCATCTAAACGATGGGGGGGGGGGGGGAGGCTGTCCAACCTCAACAGCCAGGAGGGTTCTGCACGTTTCCCAGAGGTGAATTGCGTCTCTGTAAGGGGCCTCTGAGCGCTGTGCGACGTGATCAACACGCTGCTCTTGATCAACACGCTGCTCTCTCTTGAACAGAAGCGTCCTCATTGCAGCTGCCTGTGATTGGACAAGCTCCATCGACGCGTGGAGATCATCCCCCATTTCAAATTGATTTATTTGACAAAATTATAAGATGAGATCCCACATGAGGCAGCACCGCAAGCTGGTTTCTCACAAACTATCCGTGCTGCTGCAGCTGTTCAGTAACCTCCACTCAGACGGAAGAAGACTTTTGCCCGGTAACTCTGATTCCATCCCCGCATGGAGCGAATCCTCACAAAACCGAGTTTTTAAACAGAAATTGCGAGCAGAGTCTTGAAAATGTTAAGCTTTTCCGCCGTGCACCCTGACCATTATTCATCATCCTCATCAGCAGTCCATGATCAATCCACGGCTGGACGAAGGTCTCCACCAGCTGTTGCTGCCGCCTCGCGATCATGCGATCCGTAGCCATGACAAGTCGCATAATTTTGCAGCTGTGACGATTCAGAGTTGATTGTTGGGCGAGGCCATGGAGTGATACACCCTCCACCGCCAGACACAGCCAAATGTTTTTGTTAAATTGCCGACGTGCTCATTATGATCATATCAGCCTCATCATCGGCAAATCGAAGAACAATTCCTACAGACAGATTTAACAGCAGCGGGTGGGACACCCTACAGTAAAAGTCAACCACGAATCGCCGTCGTCGCCTTTACCGTAACGACAGCAGCGCAGCGTGACGCGATCTCAGAGACAGAAAACAAAAACCGTTCTGGGACCGGAATGAGCGACAGGACAAACCTGCAGCGAGCGCCGTCGTCGAAGGTGCGCGCGTTGTTGTTGGTGGTGCTGCGCTGACGCGGACCACAATAAATCGACCCTTGGCCCGTTGGTTTAAATCTGTCCTCGTCAGAGTCGCGTCCGAGCGAACGTGAACGCCACGAGCTCACGGGCACACGCTCATTAAAGCGCGTCCCCCCTCCCCCGTTTGACGAGCGGCGCTGTAGTCACGGTGCGAGTGTATACGAGGCTGGTGCATTGCCACACAGCACCGACCTCTTGGGACTTTTGTATTTTATCGCAATTACATCGCGAATCACGCTGTCTGTGGTACCAGCACATTCATCCACAAGTCAGTCTTGCAGATGACACAACACTCCACCCTTTGGGCGACTCAGTATAGACTCTCCCCTCTGGGTATAGATATGTATGTTGAACTTCTTTCGCACCGTACATAGCCAACCGTGCTAATCGGAGGTGCAGAGGAAGGACAACAAACTAAACGCAAAAAGCAGTTCTCAAGAATTAGTGCATAGCTCCAGTGGCTTCCTAATATCGAAAGAGCGTTTCAGATGGCCGCAGAAGTGCATCTGAAAGCAAGCGATGCAGTGGCCGTCTTTCTTCGATGGATATCCAAAAGCCGCTGCGAGGATGACCGCAGTTCGCCTGACGATGTATGCTCTTTGACGAGATCAGCAAGGTATTTTTGAGTGTATTGAGTGCGACCTTACAATGTATTCGTTTGGCAACCAGAAGCCGATGCAGCTCAGCGAGCACTGGACGAACACGGTGGGATCTTGCAGTACCCGTCACGACCACGTGCCACAGAATGTTGTGCACCCTGCAGCGTGCTATTGTTTTTGTCAAGACGCCCCGGGTTGGCAATGTCATGAATCAAAAGTGGTAGAATGTGTCATAGAGCCCGAATATGAAAATTGCGGGGTCTGGGTGACTCAGTATAGACTCTCTCCTCTGGATGACTCAGTGTAGACTCTCTCCTCTGGGTGACTCAGTGTAGACTCTCCCCTCTGGGTGACTCAGCAGAGACTCTCTCCTCTGGGTGACTCAGCAGAGACTCTCCCCTCTGGGTGACTCAGTAGAGACTCTCTCCTCTGGGTGACTCAGCATAGATTCTCTCCTCTGGGTGACTCAGTGTAGACTCTCTCCTCTGGGTGACTCAGCAGAGACTCTCTGCTCTGGGTGACTCAGTGTAGACTCTCTCCTCTGGGTGACTCAGCAGAGTCTCTCCTCTGGGTGACTCAGCAGAGACTCTCTCCTCTGGGTGACTCAGTAGAGACTCTCTCCTCTGGGTGACTCAGAAGAGACTCTCTCCTCTGGGTGACTCAGTAGACTCTCTCCTCTGGATGACTCAGCAGACTCTCTCCTCTGGGTGACTCAGCAGAGACTCTCTCCTCTGGGTGACTCAGCAGAGACTCTGTCTCCTCTGGGTGACTGAGTAGAGACTCTCTCCTCTGGATGACTCAGTATAGACTCTCTCCTCTGGATGACTCAGTATAGACTCTCTCCTCTGGGTGACTCAGCAGAGACTCTCTCCTCTGGGTGACTCAGCAGAGACTCTCTCCTCTGGGTGACTCAGCAGAGACTCTCTCCTCTGAGTGACTCAGCAGACTCTCTCCTCTGGGTGACTCAATGTAGACTCTCTCCTCTGGGTGACTCAGCAGAGACTCTGTCTCCTCTGGGTGACTGAGTGTATTCTGCTGCTTGTCCCGGCATCACAAAGGTTGTTCATTTCCACAGAGGGAACCCGACACTGAGTATACAAGGCAGGTGCATTACATCCTGCCGTGCTATGCAGGCGCACTCTCACTCACGTCTACACACAACACAAGAGTCGCCCTGGGCCCCCACTCAGAGGCACAGATCGGGGGGGGGGCGATGGGGGGTGATCACCTCAATGCCACCCCTCCCCCCGCTGGATCCACCACCGGTGCCTGTGCCAGGCCCGGTCCACACTGCCGCCTCGATGTTCGGTGGTGAACGATCCACGGGGGGGGGGGGGGCGGGGAGGGGAATCCTGGCTCAGGGTAGACAGAATGAGCACGGCTTTGTGGAGAAGTCAATTTGCTTAGCCCACACCATTGGGAATGGGGAATTTCCACCACTGGCTCAGCAGGCCTGCAAACAGGAGTTGAATATCAATGCCTCAGTGCTCATTTAAGCAGGAAACCATTTTTATTTTTACACATAAGCAGTGCCGCAGGGGGAGCGGTGGCGCAGAGGTTAGTCCACTGCACTACGAACCCAGTGGCTTGAGTTTATTTACCAGCTTACATCATTGGAAAGTGATATCTGAACTGGACCTCCCTTAGGTCGACTCAGCCTTAAATGATTATCCGGCGCAGTGTATAAACATCAGCATGGGGGATTCAAAGCCGGTCGGGCATGGTGCAGGCTACACCGCTCACTCCTGCTCCACCTCCTCCTCCATCACCTCCTCCAGCTTATCCTCCACCTCTTCCACCTCCTCCGCGTGTGCCGTGGACGTGAGGCCACGCTGTGAGCTCATCTCGCCCGGCCCGCCACGTGGGTGTGAAGGTGGCGACGAGAGCCCTTCACATCGCCACGAAGAGCGGGGGATGAGGTGGGGCATGGGGGAGCAACATCCACCTTTGGTCTCACCTGTGTATACTTAAGAGGTTATTTTTTCGTGTGTTAGATCACATAAAAATAAACGTGTCGTTAAACCCGCCACCACCCGACACAGCCAATTAGTAAGGTTTGTCACACCAACTAAACATGCCAATAAGTTACTAGTTCAGCCCACCGGTTTAAAGACGCATTTATATTTACGTGATCTAATCCCCCAAACCCCCCACAAAAAAACTCCTCCAATATGAATATTGGTGTGTGGTAAAGTGTGTGGTAAGTGTGTGTGCTAAAGCATGTGGTAAAGTGTGGGGTAAAGTGTGGGGTAAAGTGTGTGGTAAAGTGTGGGGTAAAGTGTGTGGTAAAGTGTGTGGGGTAAAGTGTGGGGTAAAGTGTGGGGAGCAATAGTGTAGCAGTTAGTGCGCTGCGCTATGAACCTGGCGACTCGGGTTCGATTCCCACTCACGACCAACACCAGTGACGATTATCTGAACCGGTCCCGGGCCTCCCCTAGTTCGACTCAGCCTCAAATGAGTACCTGGTGCGGTGTGTAAACATTGCCACTGGGGAGACAAAGGCGGCCAGGCGTGGTGCTGGCCAACCACCCCCTCGTGTACCGTTCCGGCCTTCATAGGTGCTCGCTAACAGCACTTGCCCCTACAGTCTGTTAAGGCTATATGGGGGATCTTTGTCTTTGTTTTGTGGTAAAGTGTGTGGTAAAGTGTGTGGTAAAGTGTGGGGTAAAGTGTGGAGTAAAGTGTGTGTGGTAAAGTGTGGGGTAAAGTGTGTGTGGTAAAGTGTGTGGTAAAGTGTGTGTGGTAAAGTATGTGTGGTTTGCAAATTAGCTGAGCATTTCTGAGGTCCTGGGGGAGGGGAAACCCCTCAGCCAGGAAAACATCGTGGCACAAAGTGGGGATGACCCTGCTGAGGCTGCGGTGCCTCAAATATTGGAAGAAGTCACCCCCTGTGAGTGGCTGGCTGAGGTGCCATCTGTTGAGGAAGTACTGAAGGCGATCCGGAGTCTGAGACCAGGAAAGGCAGCGGGCAGAGATGATCTCCCAAGCGAAATGCTGAGGGAGGGTGGCGTTTGTGCACAGACTGCCCTATATGACATCATAACAGTCTGGACCACTGAACGGGTTCCGTAGGATTGGAAGGATGCCCTGGTGGTCCCCCTCTTTAAGAAGGGGGACCGCACAGACTGTAATAACTACAGGGGCATCTCACTCCTCAGTGTGCCGGGAAAGGTCCTGGCAAGGATTATTCAACATCGCCTTGCCAGGCACGCTGAGGAGAGGCTTGCGGAGCCCCAATGCGGTTTCAGGAAAGAGAGGTCCTGCACAGATGCCATACTTTCTGTCTGTCTGCTACAGCAGAGGTGTAGGGAATTCCAGCAAGACATACATCTCTGCTTTATTGACCTGGTCAAGGCCTATGATACCATCAGTAGGCCTGGGTTCTGGGTTGTTCTTCGTGCTTTTGGAGTCCCTGACCCTCTGCTCACAATCATTAAGGACCTTCATGATGGTGAGCGGGCCCGGGTAAAACTACGTGGCCGGGAGTCAGAGCCATTCCCTGTACACCTTGGGGTGCGACAGGTATGTCCTCTGGCTCCCACATTATTTAACATCTATTTTGACCACGTAGTTCGTGAAGCCTTCAATAGCTGTACCGGGGGAATCTCCATTTGGTACAGATATAATGGGAGGCTGATCGATGCCCGGGTGCGGTCAAGGGATGGCTCTCTATTGCTCAACCACGTTATGTATGCCGATGATTTGGTAATAGCTGCTCATTCAGAGGAGGAGTTGGAGACGCTGCTGTTGAGACTGGAGCGTGCCACTAAGAGATGGGGCCTTACCATCAGCCCCACCAAAACTAAGCACCTGCCTGGGTATTTTGTACCATCGGACACTCCACCCCCACAACTCCCAATTGGTGATCGGGCAGTTGTGGAGAGAGTGGAGAGTTTCCCATATCTGGGCAGTGTGCTTATGACCGGCTCCAGTTTAACAGCAGAGGTCTCACTCCGAATCAGTCGAGCGGCAATATCTTTTCATCGGTTGCGTAACGCTGTGTGGAAGCTACCTGGTCTGTCGCTCCGCACTAAGCTTCAGGTCTTCTCGGCCACAGTCATTCCCTCCCTTCTCTACGCCTGCGAAACGTGGACCCCCCTAATGGAACATCTTCGCCGTTTAGAAACATTTAGGCTAGCCTGCCTACGATCCATCCTGGATTTAACCAGGCTGGATTGTGTGAGGAGCTCACAAATCCTTGAAAGATCTGGGCAAGGTCCCATCGGTGAGCTCCTCCGGCAGGCAAGGCTGCGTTGGCTGGGTCATGTAGCCCACATGCCCAGCCACCGCATGCTGAAACAGCTTTTGTTCGGCCGGATCGAGGGGGCTAAACGGGCGCAGCACGGGCTAGAGAAGAGATGGAGTGATGTGGTACAGGAGGACGTGGAGCTGAGTGGACTTGCCCACGACTGGTACCAGCGGTGTCAAGATCGGCCTCTGTGGAGGAGGCTCGTGAAGGACGCTACTGGGCAGTTGGAGGCAGTCGCCCTCCAACAACAATGGAGGGCGGAGGAGCGACGCTCACAACAACAAGCGGAGCGCCCGGTGGCTAAAGCACAGCAGGTTGGCACAGTAGGGGGGCACAGGTGTTGCATCAGCCAGTCATCTTAGTCAGTCAACCCGTGGCACTTGGGTCTGCCCCGTGACCTCCTGCCAGCGGGCGTTCGACACTTCACGTGGCCTCAAGGTGCACATGGCCTGGCACAAGCGTCGTGGTGACGTCACCGCCACTTAGTGGCGAATGGCGGTTGTTGTTGTGGCAAAGTGTGTGGTAAAGTGTGTGTGGTAAAGTGTGTGGTAAAGTGTGTGGTAAAGTGGGTGGTAAAGTGCGTATGGTAAAGTGTGTGTGGTAAAGTGTGTGGAAAAGTGGGTGGTAAATTGTGTGTGGTAAAGTGTGTGTGGTAAAGTGCCTAGTAAAGTGCGTGGTAAAGTGCGGGGTAAACCGATAGTGTAGCGGTTAGCGCGCTGTGCTATGAACCTGGCGACCCGGGTTCGATTCCCGCTCACGGCCAACACAAGTGACGATTATCTGAACCGGTCCCGAGCCTCCCCTAGATCGACTCAGCCTCAAATGAGTACCTGGTGCGATGTGTAAATATCGCCACTAGGGAGACAAAGGCGGTTGGGCGTGGTGCTGGCCACCTACCCCCTCGTGTACCGTTCCGGCCTTCATAGGTGCTCGCTAACAGCACTTGCCCCTACAGTCTGTTAAGGCTATATGGGGGATCTTTGTGGTAAAGTGTGTGGTAAAGTGCGTGTGGGAAAGTGTGTGGTAAAGTGTGGGTTCGCCCACCTCTTCCAAAACGGTCCGGTAACACCTAGGAGGGTCGACGAAGGCCCTTCTGCCTGCAGTGGCGTGAGCGAGCAGTTACAGGGCTGCCCCTTTCCCTCCTGTACTCACTGCACAGATCATCAATTATCCGGCAGGCTTCGCCGGATAAACACGTCATTATTTAAAATATATCATTTTTGCACATTCTTGAATAACGTTCTGTTTTTAGGCGTTGTTTATATATATTTTTAGTGTTTTACATTTGTTTACTATGTGAAACTGGCATAGACACACAATTAGACAAAAGTAAATATTCTCCTGTCAAAATAGTAACTGTATTTATTGTACCGTACTTACCACTCCAGTCTCGAAGACTACATCATGGGGTGATGTACGTAGCACTCCGCTCTTGTTTCAACAACATCATGATGTGTTGATGATCGCCGGACTGGTGCAGCCTTTAGACCGCTGCTCCGGCGAACTTTTCTCCGGATCGCACTGGATATTTTCTGTTTGTATTACTGTAGCTATTTGTCATGAAAAATGTATATATGTGCATTATTTTCATTGTTTACATTGTCGTATGTAGTGCATAATGTACTGTAAAAATATTTAACACTGAAACCAAGCGTAGATATTTTTGTCACGCACACGGGGCCGATCGTCGGACTGGTTACAGCCTTTGAAGCGGTTTTGCCGCTTTCGCCGGATCGGCCCAGAACCGCCAAACAATGTTGGAAGCAGCCGGATAATAATCGATCGATGATCAACTGTACGCACTCTTAATTATTGCCTCCTGACGCTGATTTTGAGCTCGTTCAGACTGAGCTCAGCAATCGCACACGAAAGGCTCTGATCCCACGCACAGCCAATGGTGGCCTCCTGCCCAAAGGGGCACCGAGGCAGCAGTCATTGGTGCCCAACTCCTCCTGGCAGTTCCACATTAATATGGCGGGGAGGAGTCTCTCCATTGAGACAGACGCCGGATTGTTGCAAGTGCCGCGCCAGGAGATTGGGAGGTGGCTGGGATGTAACCGGCGACCTTTGGAGTGCGAGTGCAGTGCCATCAGCCCACGACACCGCCACTGTGGCAGTGAACAGCAACGAGCAGCAGCAGCTGCTGCTTGCTCCCTGTTGATGCGCGCGGGATGTTGCGAGTGTCGCACGCACATCGGCAAGGTCACTTGTGCCGGCCGCGTGTCCTCCGTGCCACCGAGCGCGGGAAGTAGTGGCGGTGTTGCTGCTGTTGTTTGGTGCCCCTGCCTGGGATTTGGGTCTCACTCACGCGGACGTGGGTGGGGGGCACTGAAGAGCGAGAGTCGGGGCCCTGGGAGAACGAGCGAGAGAGACGCGGACGTCTGCTGCGTGTTGACCGGCAGGCAGGCTGGTCACCCTTGAGGACCAGATGCCCGTTTCACGTTAAATGCATACAAGACATAACATTGACAACAATGTAGAAGAGAGTTGTGTCAGATACGGCGACCTTAACTCCTGAACGAACCTTGATAGTGCTTTTACACGCGACAAGCCACTTGCATCCCATCTCAACACTTCTGAAAGGGCACCCCCAGTGACAGCTGTCCCTATGTGGCACAGGTGACTCAGAAACTTGGCCTGAAAGCGAGCATTCGTCTGCCAGGTATGGGCAATGATCGCTGCTGTTTGTAATTCTAATCGACTAATTTGATGTTTGCAAACGATCCAAATCTTTGTTGTGATTGTGCAAGTTGTGCAAAACAATGTGACGCAAGTGGATTATCGTGCCAGGGCAAGAAGAATTTGGCTCTGCCCCACGTTGTTTTATTCATTTCACGCCCCTGCCCTCCACTCTGCCTCAATTGATGCCCCCCCACCCGACCCTTGTGAATAAGCCGTAGGGTGATATTGGGGATATTTGGGGTTTGACCTTGACACCTCGCCTGCTATTCACCTTTATGTGATCCTCACTACGGGGTCCATTGTCGCAGGCGTGTGGAACTTTTCGGACTCTGCGATCCGACAAATGCACGAGTGGCATGTGCCGTGACTCATAACACCGTGTAAGAGCTGCAGGTGATATACAATCCATTACATTTGTGCACATCACATGATTAAGATTTATCATTCAAAAGTCAAATTGTTTTCCCGCTCATCTCCTCTTTTGAGCCCTGAGCCGGTGGAGGTTGCACATTCCTATGACTGGGGCGAGTCGATCTATAGCACCACCACAGATCATTTCCCTGCAAAGAGGTGCTTATTTTATCGACCCCTGATGGATTATGAGTCAACCCCTCATCCACACTACAGATCGACTGAGCCTCCCGTCCAGGCGGAGCCGGCGCTGGCTCTGTCCCCCCCCCCATCCTACCGCACAGACCAAGACGGCACAATGTTGTCGTTCTGCAGTGTTGTTGCACTTGCTGTGAAGTGGGTCGACGTGTCTGTGTTGGCAATAGACTTGTGTGTGTGCGGGCAGTACACGCGCGTGTGTGCGGGGCGTACGTACAGGCGCGTGTGCGGGCAGTACACGCGTGTGAGCGGGCAGTACACGCGTGTGTGTGCGGGCAGTACACGCGTGTGTGTGTGTGCGGGGCAGTAGACGCGTGTGAGCGGGCAGCACACGTGTGTGTGTGTGCGCGGGCAGTACACGCGTGTGAGCGGGCAGTACACGCGTGTGTGTGTGCGGGGCAGTAGACGCGTGTGAGCGGGCAGTACACGCGTGTGTGCGGGGCAGTAGACGCGTGTGAGCGGGCAGTACACGCGTGTGTGTGCGGGCAGTACACGCGTGTGTGTGCGGGCAGTACGCGCGCGCGTGTGCGGGCAGTACACGCACTCGCGTTTGAACGGGATACATAGTCCATGCACACCTTAGCGCATCACCCACACGCCTATACAGTACTCACGCACGTGTTTGTACAGTACTCACGTGAGGTCTCACCGCACTGTGACCCGCGGGAATGCGCGTGTACAGTTCGTGTGCATGTGCTGCATTTGTAACGAGGCGCGGGGCGGGGAGGTATGGAGGTGTGGGGAGAGGGGGAGACAGGGGGGAGATGTGGGGAGGAGGAGTGGGTGGGGGGAGAGCGCGATGCGAGTGCGCGCGGAGAGGCATCACTCACGCGCGCGGTCATCATCGACATCGTCAGTCACCTGCCGCCGCCGCCGCCACCACCGCCGCTATTTCAGTCAACAAGTCCCGCGTGGACCACCGTCGTCACCGCCGCTTAGTTGTGACGGGGCTTCCATGCAAACAGCACCATCACGAATCGCCATTGCCAACACTCGCAACAGTTACCACATCACCATCACTGGCGTGGCACCACCGTCAGCCTCCTCCTCCTCACCGCCACTCACGGCTGATCGGTAACGCGCACGCGGTGCCGAGTGAGTGCAGCAGCAGGCGGATTGACGACTCGCAGTGATTGCGGGCAGCTGAGCGGGAAAAAGGTGGTGGGAGGGGGTGGGGAGGGGGGTGGGGGTGGTGGGGAGGGGGGAGGTGGGGGTGGTGGGGAGGGGGTGGGAGTGGTGGGGAGGGGGTGGGAGTGGTGGGGAGGGGGGTGGGAGTGGTGGGGAGGGGGGTGGGGAGTGGTGGGGAGAGTGTGGGAGTGGTGGGGAGCTGAAAGGGAGAGCGGGGCTGGGGAGCTGAGCGGGCTTCTGTGAGTCGCCATGGCCACTCCGTCTCCTCGGCCGCCACCGCCATCGCGTTCGCATCTTCGCCGCGGCGCCCACAGCCACGAGGTGACGACGGCGATGACGAGGTGACGAGGGCGATGACGAGGTGACCCCTGGCACGGGTTCGTCAGCCGGCGAGGAGACTCGCGCGGCGCGATGCTCTGAAGGGCGAGGAGCGACGGACGACGCGCGGCACTCCCCCTTCGGGTGAAGCCAACAACAACCACCAACAACAACCACCAGCCAACAACAACCACCAACAACAACCAACAACTACCACCAACAACCACCACCAGCCAACAACAACCACCAACAACCAACAACAACCACCACCAGCCAACAACAACCACCAACAACCACCAACAACAACCAACAACAACCAACAACCACCAACAACAACAACCACCAACAACCACCACCAGCCAACAACCACCACCAGCCAACAACAACCACCAACAACAACCAACAACCACCACCAACCACCACCACCAGCCAACAACAACCAACAACAACCATCACCACCAGCTAACAACAACCACCAACAACAACCACCACCAACAACAACCACCACCAACAGGGGGTTCTAAGGTCCTCTGGCACGTGTCTGAGCTCCACGTGGAGGAGACTCGCCGCTCCAGGAGGAGGAGGAGAAGCCAAATCGCCCTGCCGTGTGTGGAGGGCGGCAGCAGCAGCGGCGGCTCGCCCGGCCCTGTGAGGACAGCCTCGGGCTGCCGAGACAAACCCCGAGAGGGTGGAGACGGTGAATGCCGCAGGAGTGCAGATTAGAGCAGCCCATGATTAATCCGAGCTGGATAAGACCGACGACGACTCCCCAAGCGGCGTCAACGTCTCGCAGAGGAGGAGGAGCAGCAGCGGGAGGATCGCGGGACGTGGAGGATCCAGATGTCGTGATCTCTCTCGGCGGGATTTGTAATCGAGTGGGCGGGGATTTAAAGAGCAGAATATCATCGTTGAGCCTGAGCATTCGCCAGCGGATTCCGGTGTGTGACCACCACCATCAGTAACATCACCACCACCAGTAACAACACCACCAGCAACATCACCAGTAACAGCACCACCACCAGTAACATCACCACCAGCAGCACCAGCAGCAACATCAGCAACATCACCAGTAACATCATCACCAGCAACACCACCAGTAACATCACCAGCACCACCACCAGTAACACCACCACCAGCAACACCACCACCAGCAACACCACCATTAGCAACACCACCAGTAACATCATCACCAGCAACACCACCAAGTAACACCACCAGCAACACCACCAGTAACACCACCAACACCACCAGTAACACCACCACCAGTAACACCAGCACCACCACTAGTAACACCACCAGTAACATCACCATCACCAGTAACATCACCAGCTCCAGCACCAGTAACATCACCAGCTCCACCACCACCAGTAACACCACCAGTAACACCACCAGTAACATCACCAGCTCCACCACCAGCACCACCACCAGTAACATCACCAGGCACCACCAGTAACATCACCAGCTCCATCACCAGCAACACCACCAGCGCCAGCTGTAGGAGGCGGCTGAGCCGTGAGGATCCTCGTATCCCTCGCCCTGCCCGGCTGCCGCGAGCTACACGATGGAGGGCGAGGACTCAGGGGCGAGTAACGAGGTGGAGGACTCAGGGGCGAGTAACGAGGTGGACGAGGAGGAGGAGGCGGCGGCGAGGCCGGAGCCGCGAGGCTGCGAGCGAGGCCCCTCGCTCTACCGCCGCGCCAACAAGGGGGGGGCAGCCGCGGCCCGCAGCCGGCGCCGCTTCACCGTGGCCTACACGTGGTAGGGCTCCCCTCACTCACTCACTCACCACTCACTCACCACTCACTCACCCCTCACTCACCACTCACTCACCACTCACTCACCACTCACCTACACGTGGTAGGGCTCCCCTCACTCACTCACCACTCACTCACCACTCACTCACCACTCACTCACTCACCCCTCACTCACCCCTCACTCACCACTCACTCACCCCTCACTCACCACTCACTCACCCCTCACTCACCGCTCACTCACCACTCACCTACACGTGGTAGGGCTCCCCTCACTCACTCACCACTCACTCACCCCTCACTCACCACTCACCCCTCACTCACCACTCACTCACTCACCACTCACTCACCACTCACTCACCACTCACTCACCACTCACCTACACGTGGTAGGGCTCCCCTCACTCACTCACCCCTCACTCACCACTCACTCACCACTCACTCACCACTCACTCACTCATCCCTCACTCACCACTCACTCACCCCTCACTCACCACTCACTCACCCCTCACTCACCACTCACTCACCCCTCACTCACCCCTCACTCACCCCTCACTCACCACTCACTCACCACTCACTCACCACTCACTCATCCCTCACTCACCCCTCACTCACCACTCACTCACCCCTCACTCACCACTCACTCACCCCTCACTCACTCACCCCTCACTCACTCACCCCTCACTCACCCCTCACTCACCACTCACTCACCACTCACTCACCCCTCACTCACCCCTCACTCACCACTCACTCACCACTCACCTACACGTGGTAGGGCTCCCCTCACTCACTCATCCCTCACTCACCCCTCACTCACTCACCACTCACCCCTCACTCACCCCTCACTCACCACTCACTCACCCCTCACTCATCCCTCACTCACCCCTCACCCCTCACTCACCACTCACTCACCACTCACTCACCCCTCACTCACCCCTCACTCATCCCTCACTCACCACTCACTCACCCCTCACTCACCACTCACTCACCACTCACTCACCCCTCACTCACCACTCACTCACCCCTCACTCACCACTCACTCACCCCTCACTCACCCCTCACTCACCACTCACTCACCACTCACCTACACGTGGTAGGGCTCCCCTCACTCACTCATCCCTCACTCACCCCTCACTCACTCACCACTCACCCCTCACTCACCACTCACTCACTCATCCCTCACTCACCCCTCACTCACTCACCACTCACCCCTCACTCACCACTCACTCACCACTCACTCACCCCTCACTCATCCCTCACTCACCCCTCACTCACTCACCACTCACCCCTCACTCACCACTCACTCACCACTCACTCACCCCTCACTCACCACTCACCCCTCACTCACCCCTCACTCAGCACTCACTCACCGCTCACTCACCACTCACTCACCACTCACCTACACGTGGTAGGGCTCCCCTCACTCACTCACCACTCACTCACCACTCACCCCTCACTCACCCCTCACTCACCCCTCACTCACCCCTCACCTACACGTGGTAGGGCTTCCCTCACTCACCACTCACTCACCCCTCACTCACCCCTCACTCATCCCTCACTCACCACTCACTCACCCCTCACTCACCACTCACTCACCCCTCACTCACCACTCACCTACACGTGTTAGGGCTCCCCTCACTCACCACTCACCCACCCACTCACCACCCACTCACCCTCTTCATCCCCCTCATTCTTCTCGACCTGCACTCTCTCCGGGCCGCCTCGCTGTGGGAGTGGAGGCTCGGCCCAGCCCGCCACGAACGGGGCAACCCCTGGGGCCACCATGGCGGGAACTCTCCACGTGAAGAGATTCAATACATAAACAATAGCCGTTACGCACGCGAACACACCACGCACAGATCTATTCATTGATCCGTTGCTTGTTACTGTCGGTCATCTCGGCCATCCGACGAACCGGGCGGCTGCTGTACGGCTGTGAGGAGGTATGGCCGCCGCCGCCGCCGTCGTTGTTGAGTGACACTTGTGGCCCTGGGCGGCCAGGCCGTGGCTCTCTCCTCTTGGTTTCTCTGCTGTGCCGGGCGGTGTCTCCTCCTGCTGCTGTCTCTCGCAGCCACCCGGGTCGTGGTGTTCGTGACTCCCGCACGCTGCTGCCCTCTCCTGCGGGTGGCATCCGTCACGTCGCAGCGTTGTTTGTGGCCTCGCCACTCGCGCACCGCGTCGCTCGCAATTCATTCTAATAACAACAAAAAGGGCTTTCTGCTGCTGCTGCTGGGTACATTCTGTCCTGTTGGCCCCGTTAATTTGTAGGAAGTGCTTATTATTATGAATAATGCGTGTTTACCCCATCGCGTAGACCCGACTAACTCGTTTCATTGGCACCGATTCAAACAGAAACGTGAACGCGGACACGGCGACGCCGCCTCTTACTCGCACGGCCCCCAGCGATGCGTTTGTGTACCTACGATTAGCGCCGGTACGGTGCCAAAGAAGGTCAACATACGGGTACATACACTCATCATCCGGTGGCTTTTGAGGGGTCCCCTCGTCGCGTGGGCTTTGCCCAGGTGAAGGTGCCCCACCTGGCCCGTGCTGATGGAGGCATCGTAGCAGCGCCTCCTCCCGCATCGCGTCGTGCCTCCAGCCCGCGACTCGAGCCAAGGTGTCCCGGCGGAGATGAGTCACGCGAAGACAAAGGTCCCCCGTATTGACCCGAACGGGCTGCTGGGGCAAGTGCTGTTAGCGAGCGCCTGTTGTGGCCGGCACGGCACACGGAGGCCAGCACCACGCCTGGCCGCCATTGTCATTCCATTTTGAACGCCGAGTTGACCTAGGGGAGGCTCACGACCGGTTCAGATATTTACATATTAAAATGTTTTCAGCCAATTAATGAGTTGTTTACACGTGTGCGAGGAAACCAGAGCACCCGGAGGAACCCCGCGCTTGCAAGGGGGCATTGATTGATCCCGTACAGAAGGGACAGATGGAGATTAGACTTTGCTGTACAGCATTCTCCTGGTGA